ACACATGTCATCGTATCCCATTTGCGTAGATCGATGCTCATGCTGTTGATCACTTGATTGAGATACGATGACATGTGTTAACCAGTCTGACTACGACAAGCACAGAAAAGACGTATAGGATTTTGTACACTGGTGTGACGACAACTACCTGCCATTAAATGTTGCGAAAACCAACGAACTCATTGTGGATTTTAGAAACCATAAAAGTGACACTGTGTCTGTTGATATCAAGGGTGAAACTATCGAAATTGTAAAACAGTACAAATATCTTGGCACTATCATCGACAATAAACTACAGTGGGGTCCAAACACTGATTTTATTTTTAAGAAACGCCAGCAAAGATTGTATTTTATGCGCAAACTGAGATCTTTTAACATAAGCAAAAAGGTGAAGTCGTTTTATCTTTGTTTTGTTGAAAGTATTTAAATTTTTCAATTCAATGCTGGTATGGCTCTCTTAATATTAAAAGCAAATCTTATCTTAACAAAATCATTTTAATTGCAAGTAAAATCTCTGGGGTGTCTGTTTCAGATTTATCTTCTCTTTTTAATTCCCGTGTTCTTAACCTCGCTGAGAGAATTTTATCTGATTCCAGCCATGTTATATTTTCTGAATACCATCTGTTACCTTCAGGCCGCCGATACCAAATGCCCCGTTTTAAAACAAAAAGAGTTCAAAATCCTTCTATTCCGGCCAGTATTCGCCTTTTAAACGACTGTTAACTTTGTCTGCCTATTGTGTTGTTTTGTGTTTTATTAACCTTTATGTCATTTTTATATGTAACCATGTGACCACTTTCAAAAAAAGAATTCCCCTTAGGGTAATAAAGTATTGTCATTGTCATTGTCATTCAGTTCCATAGGTAAAGTGAAGTTTTGAAGATTTCGCAGGGCAGCTTCCAAAGATGGCTACTTTCGTTTTGGACAAATTAAGTTTCCATTTCTTACAGTAACGAAAGAAGACATTCGGGGATTTTTGTAAATCCTTTGGATTTTCACTGAACAGTATGGCATCATCTGCGTATAACAATATAATAAAATTATGTAAGAGGTCAATACTGTTAATTTGCGTTTCGTATCGAAAACCATTACAACTACTGGCAAAGACGTGTTGTTCAAGATCATTTAGGTATATGGGCGACAACACACACACACCAGTACTGGGGAAAAACAACACCATATGTATACAATGAGTTTTACCGTCCGGTAATTCCGCGCACATCGATCGCAACACGGCAACTAACGTCTCTTATTTTTTGTGGTTTACGTGACTAAACATGCTGGCATGCATCATATATACATAGAAATATAATTTTTATTGACGACTATAAGATTCTAACGTTGCATTATGTCATACGGTTGACCTTACCGGCGTTCTGACAACATCGCTTGCTGTCCGGTAATTCAGCGCAGCAACTGATGCGCATAACAACCAGCTGGAGATCCGAAGTATGGAAGCGTAGGGCCAGAATATTTTCAAAAATCACTTCATCAATGTAAGGAAGAGTGTTTCATATTAAATCCAATTATGAATAATGAAGAAAAAGGTTTAAAAGTCTGAAGAAAACGAATTTTCATAAAACTGTCAATTTATCTCTCAATTACTGTTATTTACTTACCTTTAGTGATTAAAAGCCAGTCCCTTGTAGAAATGTCCCGATTTCAAGCGTAAATGTGGTAGCAGACGATGTTTACCTTCGATACGGAAGTACGCTATTGCAGCTGCGCAGAATTACCGGACGCGCGGTACAACAAGCCAGACCACCTTGATCGTTTCGTTGCACTAAAATATACTACGTAATAAAGATTACAACAGACATTAACACAGAGGAGATCGGTTAAGTCGGCTTGGTGTGAAAGTGCGATCGCTTGTGTCCAGAATAGATATGGAACTACCTTACGAGGTGGGGTGGGGGTGGGGGTGGGGGCTATCTAGTGTTAATCAGTATGTAGGCCACATGTACCGGGGCGATGTTTGGATAGGGTACTTTTCATGTCGGGGATCGTCACCCGAACCTCATATCAATGGCAATTAAGGACGATAAAGGGTCTCGAAGGAATATTTTATATCATTGAGTCTTAAATATTGTATTATGTACATATGGATAATGCTATATCTAATTTAGTTATATTTTACTATGGGCTTGCTAAACATGTACCGTCTCTCATAAATCGCTGTGCGATTGGTTGTATACAATTTTAATGTATCTCTATATATTTTAGCTGCTTTGACGTAATGTTGTGTACAAGTGAGGTGAGGTGAGGTGAGGTGAGGTGAGGTGAGGTGAGGTGAGGTGAAATTGGGTTTAACGTCGTGCTTGAGAATATTTCGCTCATATGACGACGTGCATGTGTGTGTATGTGTATGTGCGGCTGCTTGTACTAGCCCAGACTGAAGCTGGTTTTATAGTGCTAGCCCACTGAGATACCATGCCGCAGTGAAGCATGAATACCCCACTCAGACACATTATACTGACTCCGAGCCGACCAGTCCTTGTTGTACCCATTAATGCCGAGCGCCAGGCAGGGACCAACAAGTACCATATTTTAACGTCTTTTGGTATGACGCGGTCGGGGATCGAACCCGCGACCTTCCGCTCTCCGGGCGGACGCTCTAACCACTACACCACGGAGGCAGTCGTGTACAAGTGAGACGTTAATAAATTCTTCTTTTTCTATTCACTTTGCGACTATTTATTTAAGGTGCACTGTCTGCAAGAAGGCACAGACTTCAGTCAGCGGGTATTCAGGATGAAATGTATTAGTCGGATCATGCTTGTAAGTGTGTGATTCCAGTAAATGAGAACTATTTAGCGTTTAAAATTTCGAAGATACTCGTGTCTTAATTTTCTCATTCCTCGACGTTTTTGTAAATCCACTGAGTGTATCTGATTTTGTGAATTCATTAGGTAAACTCATGTTAGGATTTAACTTGTCCGAAAATATACTTGACAAAATAATGACTGTATAATTTACAATTTTAAAAGTAGTTTTAAAAGCACCTCGTACATCAGTGATATAAACAATGGTCTGCTTTAAGACCTTTTCCTAAATGTAAGGGACAAAACCTTTTACACATGTATTACAAATCTCTACTCGTCACACAGTCGATTTTATTACCCACGTGGTCAACGTATGGGTAGTTGCATACTAATCTCGTACGTCACACGAGTGTCGTATCGCGGTGACCTGTGTCGTAACGACTTGACCTGAGATTCTAACGATTTGATTGGATAACCGATGACCTCTCAGTTAGGTCACATTCTGACGTAACAGTTTTTTCATTCATAACAAACACGTGAATTCATTCATTCTACAACTTAAATGCATTGTGGGAAAACATTGCGAACGTTGCCGTGTCGCTTTTAATTGTGAGTCGAACTGAGACTGAAACCGGTTTCGGTATGAAACCCAAAACATAACAAAAATACGCTATTTTGTCAAATTAATGCATGTAAGACGTGGGTAATAAATAAAATACCACACTCGCTCGGTCAGATACCATAGGAAGGACACTCGTTTCGTATAATTCGTATGTAATGAGACCGAGTGTAGTATTCTCTATGTACGACTCCTGTCACATGTATATCATGTGCATCTGTTTATGAATGACTGTCAAATAGTGATGATACCAGATGTTTGCTACAGGATGAACCTACTACCTGACACACACGTCATAAACACATGCAAACACAAGTAAAATGTTCATCTGATGAAAAGTTCTAGAAAAAAACTGTTCTCTATAATATTAAAATATTCCGTTGATTATTTGGTCTAAGAACAAATTACCGCCAATGTGTAAGAGCACATATGGCTGTAAGCAGTTTCTTAGTGGATTTAGGAATTCTAAAACATCAGTTGAATTATTGCATTTAATCATGTTGGTGAGGCAACTTTGTGTTCACATGAATTCAGTGTATGACATTTTCTTTTAGCTAAGCTGCGTTTTCAAAAGTACTATTCGCCTGCTATCTTATTCAGTCATTAACATTGCAGAAACAACTTGAAAACTATGCCAGTAACGCAAACAAGTCATGTTTTGGTAAATATAAGCAACGAAAGCGTTTCTCTACTCACTTTCAGAGAGTCGATCTAACCCAATCAGACCCTGCGGTTTCTACAAATTGGAGGTCTGACTAGTGGCAGTCTAAACAAGTACTAAGATCTGTGTTTTACTGGGAAGGTGTAATCATAATTAAAACTTATGATACTTTGGATATCTTTCTACATTCCATTCCGTATTCACAACCTTCGGGACCGCCTCCGCGGTGTAGTGGTTAGAGCGTCCGCCCGGAGAGCGGAAGGTCGCGGGTTCGATCCCCGACCGCGTCATACCAAAAGACGTTAAAATAGGGTACTTGTTGGTCCCTGTCTGGTGTTCGGCATTAATGGGTACGACAAGGACTGGTCGGCTCGGAGTCAGTATAATGTGTCTGAGTGGGGTAGTCATGCTTCACTGCGGCGTGGTATCTCAGTGGGCTAGCACTATAAAACCAGCTTAAGTCTGGGCTAGTACAAGCAGCCGTACATACACAGACAAACGCATGCACGTCGTCATATGAGCGAAATATTCTCAAGCACGACGTTAAACCCAATTTCACCTCACCTCACCTCACAACCTTCGGCCAGTTCAGATGACAACAACTTTCATGTCCTGAACTCATGCACTATGTACGAGGTCAATAAGTGACAACTGCTCTATGGATCAAGGAATGAAGTTTTTCTTACGTTTCTGAGGTGGGATAGTGGTGAAATGAATATAGTTTACTCAACAAACAGGGTTTTTGAGAATCCACGAATATATATTTATAGAACAGTATGAAGAAAAGAAGGAAAACAAAAAATGTGTATATCTGTATTTATTCGCATGGTATAAATAATATATATGCTTGATAAATGTAGTCAACAAACGTGTAAAGTACTCAGTTATTGCCTCAACATTCAGGCACCAACACAACATAAAGAAGAACAATAAATAAGGAGTCCCCCAAAACTGATTCCCCCAAAACATGTGAAATGTCCCAAGCCACTAATTCATCCTACAGATTACCAAAGACACATCTTGAGTGGAGACGCGTCTATTTGGTGACGTCGACTGCGCATGCTCTGTTTGTCTCCTGCTGTCCATGACTTGGATTTCACTCGGAAGTGACGTAGTTGTTTGGAGTAATCCTGGTGCAGCATAGGAACGTAGTTTCTTGGATTGCACTGAGACTGAAACATATTTGTGACATATAATATAATAATTATAATTATACAAGACATATTATAGTACAAATAACTGAACTTTAAGAAAAGACATTAAAATATATATATCAAAGAGTATATAATCAGTATAGGCAAATCTATATGTATTTTCCTATATGTTAATTCAAAACATTTCTTCACCGACCCGATGTTGTTCATAGGTCTTGAATCCTAAATTAAACTTTAGGCATGTCTATATTGCCCTATAGGTACACCCCTCAATTTACAAACGTTGCTCAACTTACCTGGTGTTGTTCATAGAAGGCCTTGTATCCACCATCCAACAGGTATACTTCCGGGTAGAAGAGGAAAGGGTAACGGTCACTGTTCAGCTTCCGGTCAAGGTTTCTCAGATGTCTCAGTCTGTATCAGATGATATATCATTGAGTGAAACGTTACATTAACAAAGATAATTACGTTTTACGTAATAGGTACTTCACTCATTTAATCGAACTCACTTAGGTCTGAAATCGTTCACATCAACCACGTATATACTTACAGTTTCGGACCTCTTTCTGATGAAAATTCGCAGTGGAAGATGAGGATGTTCCGTTGATTGGAGTCCGTCCCCTTCAGACTGTTCACTAAGTCTGAGATCAGAGCCTCATTGTGGAGGTTGTTGGCACCCTGAAGTTGAAAAATGGCAATATTTGATTAAAAACGTTACAGAATATTGATTATGTTATTTTAGATTTCTATAACTATGATTGACATGCCAACATAAAAATGAGTTAAAAGTGTTTGTAAGATGAGAGACCTGAAGTAATTTTACCTTAACGTGACCGCCCTCATATTCGTAGGGGTAACGACAATCGACGATTTGGTAACCGGAAATGACGTCATCATACTTTCCAGCAAGAAGCTGACTGACTGTTTGTGGAGACACAGACTTGAGATCCTTGTGTCTGCCTTGTATGGTTGGGAGACTATGAACCTGAAAGACAATGAAATATATGATAACAATACTGGAAATAAAATGTCTGTGTGACTGACATCACAAAGATATTGAATGTCCTTCTCTTTCTCATTGATTAGGTAATGCAGAAGCTCCAAGTAACCGCCATTCCAAGTGGGAAAATGAACTTTCCACTAACCTGTGAACCATCGCCGATCAGGTCTCCTTCAGTTTCCATTTTGTCCACAGCTGACTTCATCACATCTGACGTTACTTCCACTTGGGTTTTCTCATGGACCACGGTGGCAGTTTTGTTTTTCTTGATCTTCCTGGCTGGAGCCTGCTCCTCCTCGTCATCATCATAGTCACGTGGTCTCTTTCCTGTGAAAAGTGCCTTCCTTGTGCCGTGGAAACCAGTTCTCTTGTGAACCAAAGATTGGGGAGACACCTGAAGATAAAAAGACATACATTGTATTCAGATTATTTCATGTCTTATGGAAAACACACATTTCTATATTTAAGGAAAGTCGCCCTACTCAAGCACCCTTTCATCCATGTACTTTTCCAAATAACTGTCTTTCGTTTTGTGCATATATCTTTCTGTCTCACTATTAGATACATAATAGGTGTAATATGTTATTCAGCCAACCTCGCTGTCACTGCAGAGAGACTCAACGCCGCTATCCCGTGAGTCTTCATCGTCGAAAACGAGGCTTTTGGGGTGGAAAAGCTCATGTAAACTCGGACATTCATTTGGAAACATTGTGGTGAACAAATAGCTTCTACAATACTAGGTATCTGGTATACTGTGTTTTCTATAAAGGCAGTTGTCAGTTGAATGATGCTGTGTCTGTGGTCTTCCTTTGCTATATACCTGTACTAAAACAACATATTTACATAACAAAGACAACACTCGTTGATCGATTCGTTATTCAGTTGATCGTACACTGTTTCTCTTTGTTAAAGAAAGCAGCATAAACATTCACGCATTACAGGAGATCGGTTTAATGGGCTTGGTGTGAAAGTGCGATCGCTTGTGTCCCCCGTAGTTATGGAGCTACCTGTACGAGGGTGTTAGGGGGATTATCCCGGGTTAATCACCAGATAGAACATCAAATGTACCGGTAGCCCATGTTTTGATAACTCATAATTCGGGTAGTTTTATCCGTCAGTTGAATGACAATTAAGGACAATTTGTATTTACTTTGGGAACAAGATCTTCAATACGGACACGCTTTCTGCCTGGATTCCCTTCAGTCTAGGTAAGGGTGTGAAGGAAGCAGGTATATAAAGGGGCTGTTAGGATGATCTGGATTAGCTGGATTAGAGGTATGCTTTGCAGAAACCAACTTATTGTTAGAACGCATGTGAAAAAAGGTTGCACAGTGAAATGTTTTGTATTTTGTTCTTGGTTTCACGTTGTCTTTCAGCTTCAGAAATGACAAAAAATGCAATACAGAAATGTTTAGTGTGTAATTTGTTTGTCTGATACATACATGTAACTCGTGTCTCCTTCTGACCAAAGGCCCGTGTTATCTGTGAAATGACTATTATGGGTGAGTGGTACATGTATATTTATATTTTGAACGTACATAGTGTATAAATGAAGCCACATCAGCTGGCCATTTTTTGTTGACATTAGTTTACAGGAAAAGTTGATTGATGGACAGGATGAATATTTAGATTGGAAATAATGACTCCTTAGACATCATCATGTTTGCTGATGCCAATGATATTATATCCGTCTCAAGTCTGCAAAACTGGTTCCTTGTAGCATGAAACGTTTTAACAAACATTAGATCTTAAATCAGCTGGAATTTGTAGTATATTCGGAAAAGGTCCTTATTTGGGCAAACCCCATAATGTATTTCTAATTCTCTTGCTCGAATATTGACTTGTTTGTAAAATAATGCTTTAGAAATAGTGAAAAAGTAACTTTAGCGTGCCAGTTCCGTATCTCTGTAGTCTTACATCTCCGCTTTAAGCTTTGGGTAAAATTTGATATGTTGCCGCAATCCTGTGCAATCCAAACATATGTACATCCAGTTTCTAACAGTAGTACATGAACATGTGTTATCCAGTTGTGGCTGCCGCTTTCATCCAGTGATTTCAGCATGTTATGATCTGATATCGATAACAATCCATGTATAGCCGTCTGCACTAATACTTTATACAGTGACTAAAATAATTAACACATAGGTGGGTTCTACACACCTCGCACTGGTTGATACCTTTTTTATTATCGCGTACATATCGTTTAAAAAACTGTAAGGGACAACAATCAAGGCGGCCGGCCGGCACACACAACATTTATTCATGACGACTAGACAGGACAGAAGACAAGACGAGACTGATGCACACATGCAGCACGGACGACCCGCTAACAATACTCAGACCTGATTGGCTCACCGTGTCGAGTGTGTGATGCACGGGTATCGCAATACTTAAAGGGACCATCCGTCTCATGTTTACATCTCACATTCCTCCCCGCCAGTGGGATTTAAAATTACAAGATCTTCACTAACCAAAATATTTCTACGTCGTGTATCAGCTGTTTGAAATAAACATTGAAACTCACCAAAGATTTTACTCACAACAAAACCCCTTTGAAAATGTTTCTTACGACATTTAGGACCAGTTACAACTTTAACTGCAACGTTATCACCTATTTCAAAGTTTCTCGATTGTCTCTCACACGTTTCTTCTTGACGTTCATGTTTGGCTTGAGCATGTTTCTTTGAACACAGTTCCCACAGACAACTCATATCTGCTACTTCCTCCCCTCCAGAAGGAACACTGCTGTAGAGACGACACACGTCACTTGATCTGCCAAACATGGCGAAATAAGATGATACTCCAGTTGTTCTATTTGGACACGAGTTATGAGCCAACACGATTTTGGGTAACACTTTGTCCCAATTCTTGTCACTGGTTGCAGCTTTCACCATAGATGATTTTAAAGTTCTATGTGCCCTTTCCACTGGATTTGCTTGAGGACGAGCTATCGGGGTAAAACTGCGCACAACACCCCAATGATCCATGAAATCTTTGAATTCAGCGGACGTGAAAGCTGAACCATTATCAGTGTGTAATGTGGCGGTCCAAAGATGGAAAACAGTTTTTCAAGCGCATACATTGCTGACGCAGAGGTAGCTGATCGTACGGGAAACGCAAACACCATACGTGTCAGATCATCCAAACATGTCAACACGTACTCACAACTTTTCGATGACGTAGGGAGAGGTCCGACAAAGTCACAGTGGATAGTTTGCCATGGTACTGAAGCCGTCCGAGTTACACCAATGGGACTCCGGGGCACAGCATGAGGGCCTTCTATACATGCTGAACACTGACTGACGTATTCTCGAACTTGTCTCTGTGTAATGGACTTGTCAGTCATCCTTGCTAAATTCCATGTACGTATGACACCAAAATGAGCAAGATCATGAGCACGCTTGATAACAACATATCTGTGCCTTATCTGTTGATAAGGCACATATAGGCAATTCCTCTGAATCTTCCACGGGATATCTTGACAGAATGTCACTTGGAATGTTATCTTTCCCAGGTATATATTCCACATCAAACTGATAATCTCAAAGTTCTAAATACCATTTTGCGCATTTATCAGATTTTGATGACATAATAAATGTCAAAGGCCTGTGGTCTGTTTTGATTACAAACTTCCTACCATAAATATATTCCCTAAACTTCCGTACTGCCCAGATAAGTGCCAAAGCTTCCCTATGTACAGTGGAATAATTCCGTTCATTTTTTGACAAATTTTTCGAAGCATAGCAAATGGGATGATCATTCTGCAGAAGTACCCCTGCTACACCCGTTTTACTGGTGTCTGTCTGAACAACAAATGCAGAAGCATTAGGACTAAAGTCAGGATGTGATAACACTGGCGCCTTAGTGAGAACAGCCTTAACTCTGTCAAACGCACTCTGTTCACTTTCATGCCAAACATACGTACGAGATTCTACCATGCGACTGAGTGTCAACACGAGATCGGAAAAGTTGGGAATAAATCTAACAAAGTATGTAGCCAAACCAAGAAATGACCTCACTTGCTCCCATGTACAAGGAACCGGGTAATTCCGAACCGCCTCAATATCCCCTCTACCAGGACCAACTCCATCAGCAGATATTGAGAAACCAAGATATGCTATAGTATCCATAAAGAAATGACATTTGGAAGGTTTTAATGTCAAACCAACGGACGTCATTCGCTCAAACACCTCACGCAACAGTGACAAATGTTCATCGGCCGTGGTCGAATGGACACACACATCGTCCAGATACACCAAAACGTGATCTTTCGACAACCCACTTAGGACAAGATGCATAGTACGTTGGAATGCTAAAGGGGCAGCTTTTAAGCCAAAACACATACGTGAGAACTGCCAGACACCAGACGAAGTCTCAAATGCAGTCAAGGGCCTAGAAGTTTCATCCCACACAATCTGATTATAAGCAGAGTTCATGTCAAGAACATGTTTTGAATCTCATCAGTGCCTCATTAGGAGTCATTAAAGGGAAACGTTCGTCAAGCAACTGATCATTCAAATTTCTCAGGTCCAAACGTCAAATGTACTGTAGCAACCCTGTCACCAGACTCGATTAAGTTACCCAGTTTGACTTCATTATGTTTAGGTACCAGAGTAACACTGTCAAATTGTGATAAGAAATCCCAGCCAAGCAGAACATTCTCAGTACTGTTTTCCAACACATGGAAAGTACACTCGTAGATACTACCGTCAATACGGACACACGTATTAACTGTACCGATAGCATCTAATGACTCGCCAGATAAACTCTTAAGCTTCGACTTCGTTTCCTGTATGGACACAACACTAGGAACAGCCTTCTCCAACGAGCTAACACTAATGCATGACACACACGCACCTGAATCGATGACTGCTTGCGTAGTGAGCCTACCAATTTCAACAATTTTGGATGGTGAAGCAGAAGGTTGTACGACATTCATACTCTTGCGACAGAATCGTGCAATGTGACCTCGCATACCACACTGGTAACACCTTCTCTCATGATGCGTACCTCTCCTGGAACTCGCTGCACTACGTGGCCCAAAGGACTGACATAACACCAGAATGTGTACCCACCTGACTAGAGGCTAAGCGTAATTTAGTACGACACTCTTTCTCCTTATGACCAAGTTTTTTGCAAAACGAACACTTAATACGCAAAACTGCAGAATTATCAGAATTGTTTTGGGACTGAGTATCTTGCAGGCGACGA